TATTCACCGGTACTTACGCGCCGTACTTCTTGTCGCGCTATAATAGCCGCTTTTATCAACATCGCGCGCGAGCCGCTTGTTTCAACGTGGTTTCAGCGTGGTTCCGCTGTCGCGTCACGGAAAAGTTGTCGCTATTATCGATAACACGTCGCCCCGTCGAAACGTTCGCCGTCTGATCGAAATATCACAATCGGAGCTTTTTATTTATCTTGTCGGACTATCTTTCTCTGCCTCTCTCTCTCTCTCTCTCTCTCTCTGTCTTTAATTTAAATCCAGGCTCTTCAACTATTTAAGAGGATTACCAACGCAACATATATAAATGTACATTCATAAATCTTCTTCCTATCTAATAAAATCCTGTAAAATGAAATGCAGGAGAGACAGGAGCCAGAAATCATACAGGTTAGTTGTCACGAAGCTTATATTTCAGTAAATAAATAAAGGAGCATATTGTTCTCTACAGTGTAGGTTGATGATATCGTGTTGGTTGAGCGTACGAAATAATTCATGGATAACGCATTGCGCACGTGGTATTTATGAACACTTTTTTCAAACTGGATGTAGCGAATAAATCTTTTTCCAGTCTCTACTTTTATTTCCTGTATTCGTAAGAAATATTGTAGTTTTAGCTTATTTTTAGCCTGTATTGAGTTAACCGTTATCCCGACAATGCTTAGAATAATAATTTCTTTCATTCGCAATGATCGCAATTGACTCAAATGAGGTGGATGTGACGTAACTAACGCATGTGCACGGAAGCACACGCATGAATCATTGAATTTTGTTAGAATCAACCGGTTACGTTATGAAGTTGTGTTCACGCAAATATAAAGGTTTTAGTTAGATTTTAGTTGGTTTTTTTGGTTGCCACGGCTCGAAAGCGTGACCGAAAAACACGTGGAGGTAAAACTGCACCTCGACTAAGCGATATCGTTAACTTTAATAATATATTAAAAGAGGAAACTTTCAAAGAGAATGTGCAAATCTTGTTTCTTTTATGTGAAAGATATGTGACAACTAACACAGAGTAAGGGGTCAATTGTCCAATCACGCGATGTCGCTTTCAGTTCAATAACTTTATTATACGCGAATAAATATAATGCCACTATTTTTTCAAGCTAAAAGTTGCAGCTACATAAAAATGTACACGATATTATAAAATATCATGTACATTTTTTTCTTTTAATTCGAACGTAAAAAGTGTTCTGACCCCGATCTCCGTTATCACTCGCACATTTTCTCATTATAGCATTTTCTCATTATGTCAGAATTATCCAGTTTATATATTTATATGTTTCTTTTTCTCTTTTTATCACTAGCATTGTTAATCATCAATTTTCTTTCAATTCTGCCCATTCATAAACTGATCTTGTAGCGTTCTCATAGAGTTTGCCCTAGAATAATTAATAAAAGCTTTTATCTCTCCCCCCTCTCTCTCTCTCTCTCTCTTGCTTTCGCGAAGAATAATTCAAATTTATATTAAATTCGGAGAGCCACGGATCAATTTAAATTAAATTTTTGGTTCGCCCGCGTGTATCTCGGCCACGTCGTGGCATTAACGTTATCGGATTTTACTATGATTGTTGCACACACACACACACACGCACGTGTGTTCCGGCATACTCGATAATCATACGTTGCATACGCGGAAATTTGAAATTACTGTGCGAATAAATCCCCCGTCCCTCGCCGATTAAAATCGAGCGGGGAACTACGTGGAAAATATGAATTTTTATCCTAATGGCGATCCTCGGAACTACTAGCGTCTGTAACTCCGCGCTGTAACGGAGAGAGATACGCGTACTGCGAAATATATACGCATACGCGAGCAAACGTACGGTAGTGTGTATGTGTGTGCATTCGCTCATCTCTCCCGAGAGACGCGTCCGCAGAAATATCCTCCAAAGTCCGACGGAGTTTCAATAAACGACGCGATGCGCCTTCGTGCGCGTCCGCGATCCGTTATAACGACGCATCGCGGTAAAAAGCTGGCGCACGATGTAACGTTAAAAATTAGAGAATCTCCGTAGCTAGCATGACGGGGGGAAAGAAGAGAAGCGCACAGAAGGAGCAGCGCACAAGAGGCGGCGTATTCTTCCGCGTTACGCATCCGGCGAGCATTTTCCATCCGAGACAGCGGGCTGCCAGTTATCTCTCTCTCTCTCTCTCTCTCGCTAAGGCTAAGGCTCTCGCTTATGATTCTCCTCCGTCATGGCGCAAGATGAGCCGGACGTTTTGGCACGGCTCGGTAATGGCATTGTATCAATACTGTTTCATCTTGCCAAGAGACTCCGCTCGCGAGATATCGAAAGAATTGGCAGCGGTATAACGGACGGGCGGGAATTTTCCGAGGGGGATGATATATAGGGGCCAGTCAAGCTCTCTCGAATGTCCATGTAAGATCCATTCGGTACGAGGAGAACGGTGGGATGAAAAGAAAGGGAGGAATCACTTAGAAGGCCGTCCGCGAAAGCGAGAGAAAGAGGGTGGAGTTAGAACACGAGGAAGGCCCGAAAAGATCGGATAGAGAAAGTCGGATCCCGATCTCGAGAGTGACAAGCGGCATAATGGATACAAGAACGAAAAAAGAGAGCGAACGGACGGTGGTGGTGGAAGTAATCCGGAGCCTTAGACAACGGAAGCGCCGACTTTGATTTTTATTGCAGATTTATGTTGCAGCGTGTGTATTGTTTCTTATCACATTTTTGTAATTCCCTTCTGAAAAAGTAACGTGAACTCTTGTGTCGTATAACACCACGCAAAGTGCCGAGGCGATTTCGCGATTTTTTCGATTGAACGAATGAATATTAATTGTTATTGCTAAATATATAATTGTCACACACGTGTATCTTCAAATATGAAGAGGAATAGGTAATGAAATATTATAAGATGTATATATATATATTTTTTTTTTTTAATTCCCTTCTATAAAAGTAAACTCTTGTGTGACGTGACGTAAATCGAAAGAACTTCGCGATTTTGCCTTTTTTTTGTTTGAAGGAACAATTATTGATTATTATTATTAATCAAGTAATTATCTCATATGTATTAATATTCAAATGTAAAGAAAAATATAGATAATAAAATATATTATAAAATATAGATTTCCTCTCGTACTCCTCTCGAAAAAAATGTGTAAACTGCGATATAAATAATGCTTTCGTTTTTACCTCGTCCCTCTTACAATGTCAAATTATTTTTTCCCGATTTAATCGCGTAATTCTCGTGATAAACGCAAAGAAGCGTCTCTCTTTCGCGACAGTAATTAAGCAACAGCGGAGAAAACGTTGCTGTAAAAATGGTTGTACGCTATCGATCGCGTTTTTCTTCTTCTTTTTTTCTTTTTCACAGTGGAAGGTCGACCGTGAAGAGAAAGGGAACGAGTCCCGGGACCGCTAAAGTGACGCGAGATAATAGATATAAGGCGGGAAAAAGCCGAACAAGGATGGAAATCCGCCGGGCGACCGCAACCGGTGAGAATCCAGGAAAATCCGTCCACTCACGGACGGTGCGATTAATCAAAGCCGCGCGACGAAAATGAACGCGGCGCAATTTCGAACGTTACTTACTTTAAAGGAAGGAGCGAAGGACGTAATTAAATCGTACGAAATGCCTTTCAGGCGTCCGGCAAATGAAGTCTCTCTCTCGCGCGCGTTTTTTAAAATAATAATTGAAATATGTCGCGCGCACACGTTGCGCGAAACTTCGATAAAAGCAGCGACGATCGTTTTTATATAGCGCGATGACAAATTGCCGAACGACTAGACGGCAACTTTTGCAGAATTAAAAATTGGGGAATTGGGGACGCGCGCGCGCGATCGTATAAATTGACGTCATCGGTGTGAACGAACGGCATAAATTTCATTAATGTCGTTACGTAAGGGAACAAAGAGATTTCCTCGTTGCTCCTTTCCTTTTTTTAAGCGACGCATTACTTCTCGGCCGGATGATAAACGATGCTCATGATCGACCGTGATTCGATAGAAACTGCGCTGCGCTCGTCGTCCATTAACCCTGGTCCTACGGTTGCGTAAGAGACGATCCATAGATCTCCCCGCCCCCTCCCCCTTCTCTCTTTCTCTCTCTCTCTCTCTCTCTCGATCGAAAACAATAGTCCTTAAGAAAGACTGCTCTCACGACACATGGGAAAAAATTACGCGCGGGGCTCACGGTCTTCTCGAATATAATGATATCTGTGCATACGGTGATACGAAATTTATAAACGCGACCGTCCAACGGCCGGCGACGCTCAACGAGAATGAAAAGCGCATCGCAAATTTTTGCCGACGGTTGTCTCTCGTACGTTCATTCACATAAAGAGATATTTGTATCGTCATTACGCATCAACGCAAACAGAGAGAGAAAGAGGGAGACTATCTACACTGAAAAAAGAGCCCGGCTGGACTTACCTGACGATGGCGGCCAAGCGCAAAAAATTTTGGTCGAAGAATGCGAAATTGTCAAGTTCTGATGAGCCAAATTCGGTTCTTACAACCGGAAATTCCGTTTCCTTCAACCAAAACTTGCTCGTCCGTCGTCAGATAGATCCAATCAAAATCATTTTTCAGTGTGATCCATTAGAACCTATCATTTTCCGAGGTTTCCCCCGCAAAATCGCGTCGTCCTTCGAAACATTTAAGGTATGTTTCTCTGATCAACGCACGTAACTTGTCATGGAGTGCTCGCTACGATATTGTCAATAACGTTTTAACACCGGCGCAATGGTTGACGTTAATTGAAACGCCCAGAGAGAAAGAGAGAGAGAGAGAGAGAGAGAACGAACCAGATCAATTCCACTTTCAACGTTCACATTCGAGCTGGATATTACGAGCGAGTTATCTCTCATCCCCCCTCCCCCTTTCTCTCTCTCTCTCTCTCTCTCTCTGCTTCTCTCGATCCAACCTGAGCGCCTCGATTAGAGAAGCTCGATCGCAAAAAGGACGACGACGGCGTCGCTTAATGAGTGAAAAACACGAGTCCGTCGCACAGAGAGCGCTCACCTGGCTTGATCTCGCGGGGATAAACATGCGCCCACGAACCGTCCGCAACGAGCAGCAGCAACGCCAGCAGCAGCAGCGGCACGAGGACCACCGGGATCCTAACGACGCGCGCCAAGGTCATCCTCCGCTTGGTCCCGGCGCCGACCGAGGAGCTCCTCTGTTCACCGGCGGCGAAGGGTCCACAAGAAGCACTGATCGTCGCCGAGGCGAGGCCCGGGGGAAATCGAGGCAATCGATAAATCAGCGATCACCCGACACCGTCCGTCTCCGAGCGGGTTCGAGAGAGAGAGAGAGAGAGAAAGAAAGAAAGAGAGCGAGAGACGAGCCGTGGGTCCGACCTTCCGGCGGAGGTCACGCACGCTTGCAACGGCCCGCTGACGGCGGCGGCCCCCGCGACCTCGGGACCTCTCAAGTCCGGCGGCTCCGGCGATTTGAAGGTGTGCGTACCGCGAGTACTCCTCTCGGCTCGCTCGCGAGTGTCCGCGGCGACCAGGCGAGTGAGTGAGGATCGAGTGAGTGAGGATGGACTGACAGACTCGTGCGGGCGTACGCACGAGTCAATGAAGTGAGTGGTACTTACCCGTAGGAGCCCTCACCTTACCCAACTCGGACCACCTCGCCGCCTCTCGTCTCGCCTCGCTCCTCCGCACGCCTCCTTTTTACCTCTCTCGACCGGGCTCTCTCTTCTCCTGGTTCTCGTCTTCCTCCTCCTCTTCTTCTTTTCCGTCTTCTTCCTCCTCTTTCCTCCTTCTCTCCTGCGAGCTGCCGCTCGTCTTCTCCTCCTCCTCATTCTCCTTTTCCTCCGCCACCCGCATCTCTCTTATTCCTTCTCCTCCTTCTCCTCATTCTCCTCCTCAAGTCGTCCGTCTCTCTCTCTCTCTCTTCCTTCCCCGCCTTACGTTCGACTTACAGCACCGGCCGTTAATTGGGGAACATTTGCTGGAAATTTCATTCTCGTCGATCAAGTAATCCGGTACGCTCAGGTAATTCGTGCATCGAGCTGCTCCTCCTGATGCGGTTAATGTGTGTTGATCTTCAATCAAAATTTGATCGATGCACGAACGCCGATTCGCGGAGGGAAGTCAGTTTTTTCTGGAGAATTCTGCATCGTGCGCAATTTCGGGCTCAGAGAGAAAGAAAGAAAGAAATAAAGAGAGAGAGAGAGAGAGAGAGAGAGAGAGTGTATGTGTGTGTGTAGGATAGAGCAAGGCTAAAACTTATATAATTTATATAATAAATTAATTAATATCTCAAATATCATTGAAAATGTTTTCTAATAAATATCATAGAATAAGAAAAGACTATATTATTTTATCTATTTTATCTGAAATAATAATAATGATATTTTTTACCCTACCTCCGGGGTAAAAAATGTCAAATAACAATCGCAAATAAAAAAAATTATATCCATTAAATTACTGACTGATGGCTTTATTAACTTATTGGTTATGTAACTGAGACCCTAAAGAATGCTCGAGCAAAAGTACATAATAATAACTTGTATAGTTTGTGATGTATTTGCAGTAAAACTGAAATTGGCACTTTTAGTCCCTCCCCCTTGCCTCACCGCGAATATCTTTCCGACTTGTTGTTCCTGCGCGATCCTACTTGTTACGGTTTGCGCCACACGGTTTTCGTGAGAGCGCGCCACGCTCAAGGATTTCAAATCTCAGGAGCCTCTCCGCGATATCGTCTTACCGTTCGCCTTCATCACGAATCGAGAATCCCGCAAGCAATTAACGAACTTCCGGAGGGAACGATAATACGCGATATTATCGAGTCCGCGCGATGCGATGTTTCGTTATTTTCGCGGCAAGCGATCCTATTCGGGCGATAATTCAAAAAAGTTATTTAACGACGGGAAATACAATTCGCACATTCTACACCGAGACATGCAGCATCGGTACACGCGCTAATTGCACAACGGGTTAATTAAACAATTATCTCATTATCTGCCTCGCTTCAAAATTCCTACAAAACGCGCAATACACACGCAAGACCGAACATTACACTCCACCCATTCGTGAGAAATGTAAACAAAATGCACAGTGAAGGATCCTCGCCGATCGATGCCGGGGCAGAAATAGCCCATTGGGGGAACTGGTTAATCGCAATTCGGATAAATTTAAATCGGGCCGCGAGAGAGGGAGAGCCGGGGGAGGGAGAAGAGGATACGCAGATGTGTATCGGCGTATTTTCGACACTGGCAGGTAGCATTCTTTCCGATGCGCGCATCGGCCTTTTGTTCCGGCTCTTTCGCTCACTTACCTTCCTCCGACCGCCGTCGCTTCTTAGCATCCGCGGCGCGCTGTGTGTTCCCACACGTTTAACTCCGCCACCTCCATTTATCCGGCATCTCTCCGTGCAGTATCGCCGGTAATCCTTCGCGTGCAAACATCCTCCGGACTCGCTCTCATCCTCGGGCTCGCTCGCTCGCACGTGCGGACGACACGCGATAATTTTATTCCGGCGCTACACCTAAATAGCTTCGTTACTCTCTCCCGGACGAAAACAACACCTCGCGGCCACGTTGTCCTCGAGGATTCTCTCTCTCTCCGAAATCTACAAAAGATCCTTTACAGTTGAAGCTGCTTACTAATGGACATCATTACCGGGCGAGATAGTCGAAATTACTCTTATCGGCCTAAATTCAAATGTGCCTTGATGGCCTATCTTGAAAATTCAGAAAAATAACTACGACACATTGAAGTGGTCACTGTGTGAAGGACGTTGATCTCTAGGACAACCTCTAAATAAATATTAGTTGTAACAAAGTAATATATGATTTTAAAGCAATAAAACAGCTTCTACTATGACGACCAGTGTAACCATAGATTTGATTTATTACAATCATGCACAGCTCTGTATTTTCTACTCATGTCAGAATTTTTTATTCTCTTTTATGCTCATCCACTTCAGTTCCTTAAATATATTAATTGTTACTGCGCTTGAGGGAAATTTTCCTTTTCTCAGAGCACCGAATAAATAACTCTCCCTCTCTCTCTTTCTCCGTCGGGTATTGCGTGCCAACCGATATTCGATTTTCTCTCGCGAGGTTATTGAAATTTCACCGCGAAAGAACACGAGAAGAACCTTCCTTCCCTCCGTTTTGTCTGTGCGCGACGCGACGGATGGAAAACAAGACGCGATCCCCATCACTTATTTCCCGGCGTCTCTCTACCGTGGTCGCGGCGCCGCTCGCGGAGGCATCGCCTGCGGTCCGTTTCCGCGGAGACCCCTCATTTCCCGCTGACTAATTTGTATAGGTCTTCCCTTTCCCCCGGCGCTAAACGCCGCGCGATATTTCTTCCCCGTAATTACGCCGTTGTAGCAATTAAAATCGTTCGGGCCGGGGACAGAATGTCGAGCGTTGTTTTTATGTGGGCTAATTGAAGCCGTGGAGGTAAACCAGGATGGAGGGGGACGACGCAACGATTTTCCGACGATAAAAGTGACCGCGATAATAAATCTGCGGGCCGCGTAAAATTCGATGATTCAACGCTACGGCATTGAAATTACACGGAGTCATCGGGAAATGACGAGTGGAGGGACGAAAGAGAGAGAATGAGAATAAAAGTACGAATCCGCGGCTAACTTATTCCACCGGCGGCGGCGGCTAATGCGCCGATTGCGTTTTCTGAAAATTCCGCCGTAATAAATGTCGCAATATTTTCCGCGGAAACTTGGCCGCCGCCCAAATATAAGTGTATTCGACGTTTTCCTCTTGGCTGTGCAACGCCGCTCGACAAACGACAGTCGCGTTGTAAAGGCCGCACTGTCAGCCGTAAAACCTTTCGCGAGGCATTCGCGAAATATTGATTCCTGCTGAAAGCAGTTTGGACGCAGCTGAGACCATCGCGCGCGCGGCGAACACTTTCCCGGCGGACGGGGCGCGCGCACACGCATTTTCACCAATTTTCAATAATGGATGGCGCACAATGCGTCGCGATGCCGCTCCTCGCCGCGCCCCTGCCTGCCTTTGGCCGCGCGCGACAGGAAAAGCCATTGTGCGGATATTGTGAATAAAATGCATTAACTAGAATCGGTACCGGCTCCACGGTTATTCGCCGGACCAAAACAGATCATTTCCAGCGGAACGAGCCGCTGGGAACGGCCGCGACAGTGTCAACTGGTGGCCGGTCGTCACGCTCGAGGGTGAAAGAGCGCGTTTGAAAGAAAGAAAAAAGGAACAAAATCGGGCCGTGGTCATGCGAGAAGGATCCAATCAAATTATGATTTTCGAAATTTCATTACCGATGGATGAAAAAAAAAAACACGGTAAAAGTTTTGTGTTATAAACGGTCCATTGAAATTGTTGTGTTGTCTCAACAAAATGAATAGGTTAAAAAGTAATGGGTTAATAAAGTGAGTGCGTTAATTTAACGCATACTTGTGTACCTTTCGATACATTCCCCATGTTAAGATAACATACAAATTTCAGTGGGCCGTTTTTAATACACAATTTTTTACCGTGTGGTCCCTACATGTATAAAACAAAAAGATCATAGGCAGTTTGTATTTTCTACTGGTTGTGCCACCTTTCACCAGTTACGTCTGTTTTATCCATTTTTAAAGGTTTTCTCCATTTTCAGCAATTACGTCTGTTTTATCCATTTTTAAGCTTATCAGTGAACCACCATTGAGGAGAAGAAAATGAACCGCGCTTGGCTTCTTGAACGATCGCGAGGAGAAGTGCTATTTATACTTTTTAAATCGTGTATTAAATTTTCATCTTCATTTTTCACGAGAACGTACTCCACGCGGCTTGTATCCTTCTCGCATAACTATGGTCAATTTTTAGCGACGACGACGACGGGACGCTTACCGAAATAATTGTCCGCTTTGTCTCCCGAGCCGTCCGCGCGCAACTTTCCTTTCCGAGGAGGAAATGCATTTGCTTTATGAAGGAAGAACATGTTGCTCGCTCGCGTTCGCTGTCTCAGCTAAGAGGTAGCGCATGTAATCCGCAAAAACGTATCGATGAACGATCGCTTTCGCGACCGGGCGAATGTCATACGAAGTATGAACAAATGCGGCGCGAACGCACGCGTGGAATGACCAGCGAACTAGCAAGAGAGAGAGAGAGAGAGAGAAAACCGGAGACCACGGTGGAGAAAAGCGTGGCGCGGACAAGTCTATCCATCTTGCTCGCCTGACAAATCTGGGGAAGTGAAGTCTCGAACGCACGAGGCCTCTCATGGGGCTTAATAGCAAAAAAGGACACGAGCTCACCTGTGTGTAGTCCTGGGAGTCGCGAGAGATCCGCCCGAGAGCGATCTGCTCGCGCGCGCGCGCGATCAATGACGAGCGCCCGTGTAAGCTCTCGTCGCGAGAGATGCAGCAGTTTCGCGAAATGGAAAGAGAAAAAGGAACGAGAGAAATATCGCGACGCTTACCTCCCCCTCCCTTTCAAACTTTGCATCGCGCGTGCATAAATGGCGTGACACGATGGTGAACATTCGTCATTAACCCCGGAGTGGTCGCGTGGATGATGTGTCCTCCATTTTAAGTTGACATTTTCGATAAAAGTGTCGTTTGGGAAAGTGATGATATTTATTTGGTAATAATCAAGAAAAGATCTCATTTAAAATGGACGGGAGCACAGTTTCCGACAAACTGATAAATACACGGAGGCGCGCACAAAGAAACATTTTTTGCCGACGTAGCAAATTGTTCGTTACTGTAGTGACACCCAAAATTCGCTTTGGACGGCAAACAGAATTGAGAGGAAAAAATATTAGATAGGAAGAACGATATCTTCAAATGAAAAATTGTATCAACTTGAAGATATCATTTTAATTCAAAATTATTCTTGACTAACAACAATATAATATTTCTAATCACATTAGAATTTGTTCATGTAAGCAAGTTTTATCTTCACACAAGATTAGATATTTTTGCTTATAACGTGGGAACATGAACCTTGAATTGATACTGATATTTCCCATGAATGCTCACTCTAGAATGAACATAATGTATACATAATTAAAATGACGTATAGAGAAATTCCGTGAAAAACAGATAATATGTATTTATAATAATCAAAATTTATAACCACTATAATACATAACATTCTCCCTCTCTCTTTCTCTGCGGTATAAAAAGTGTAATATTTTTACACGTAATACGTTCGCTTTTAAGACCGCCGCGGGCGTTTACGCAGGAACGTCGGCCCCAATTATGCCCGACGTGAAAATTTCCGTTCGGGATAATCGAGCGTCGATCATTACGCTCGTTCGCACCCCGGCTCGAGTACCAGCGGCTCAAGCAGAGCCGCGTCCACTCAGCGAGGCTAATTGTGATGTCGAGACGAGAGTGAAGAGATCGTTACATCGTAGATCATCCATTTATGGCCGCGCAGCCATCTGGTTGACCGGCTTCGCATGAAGATAGAGCCGTTTCGAACGAAAGCCGACCTCCCGTGAGTATCGAGTATTTTGTAATGAGACGGAGCTTCATCGGGCATCGATTAATTTAACCCCCCCTCCTTCTCCCCTCCCTCCCTCCCGCCGCCCTGTTTGCCGCGCGGCATCCTATCCCCACCCTTCGTTTCTTCAGTGACATCCCGAGTTGATCTCAAAGTCTCGCTGCGAAATAACGTCCTCGCGAAGTTGAACTGGACGAGACTTCTCCGGGGCTTACCGCGACGTGGGTATCCATTCTACGTCTCTTGTAACTTACTATCGAACCTCGAGAGATAATAATTTTTCA